AGCATATTTTTGTAGATAAAGAGGTGAACTGGGTGCAGGGTTCAAATCTCAACAGCCCCTTGTTGAAGTCTTGGACTTGTAATTTTAGACCTGACCACAGGGGCACTGTTGTATTCTGAAGCACTAGGATGGGGTGATGCATTGAGCACTGAGCACAAAGAGATGATTTATGGCAATCCAGAATGTTTTTCTGTCACAGAAAATCTTGCCAGATTAGACATACATACATTTCCCATTATTCAAAAAACTTGCTTGTTTCAACACACTGTTTTTCAGCATCTGGATTCTAGGTCAGAAAGTAACGGGGTGGCTGTGGCTCAGGAGGTAGAGAGGTCGTCCCCTAACTTGAAGGTCTGCAGTTAGATTCCTGTTCTCTCCAGTTGAAATGTTAAAGTGTCCTTGGGCAAAACACTGAACCCCCAAGTTGCTCCCTTTCAGATGTCAATCACTAGAACCCCCCACCGATCACTGCCTTGCATAGACAGCGGCAGTGTGTGTGAGTTGGTGCTGCAGATGTGTGTAACATACTTGGTGAATAAAAGTGATTATTATCTTGTAAAACAACCTTTTCTCCATAATGAACTGTTGAGGATGTGAGCGAAAAGAAGCTAGATAAAATGAGAAAAGTAGGAGCATGTTCGATAAGGCTAGGGCACGAGGTAAAGGTAAGTGAGAGTTGATCTGAAATCTTATCTGGGTGCAGTGCTAAATGGTTGGCAGGTGCTGGTGGAGGAGCTATAATGGGTGTGGGTGGCAACAGCTGAGCACAGAGTCTGAGAGCCCCCTTGCCTGTGCTTGCAGTCCCCCTTTCTCCCCCACCACGGCATGCCTGAGCACCTCTCCGGCCTTTCAGATGTCAATCACTAGAACCCCCCACCCCCACCCTACCCTGATCACTGCCGCTGCCCACCTAATCCTCAAGGTATTTTCAAAGAGCAAGTGAGAGACAGACAGAAAGAAAGAGAGAGAAAGAAGGAGCACCTGGGGTAATGTCCTAGTGTGGTGGAATCCAAGAACACACCCTGTTAGGAAAACACAGATACACACCACCAGAGACACTCTTCCCATTCTCTCTCTCTCACACACACCCACCCACACACACACACACACACACACACACACACACACACACACACACACACACACAGAGGTTCTTTCATCTAAAAACTAAAAACATACCCCTGACGCAGAACGAAATCCCTCTGCACTGAATGATGGATTCTTTATGGTTTTTAAACTGGCATGAGTTAAAACAAAAAGTATTAAAGCACAAACAGACACAGGCAACCACATGCACTGGAGCTCCATACGTGACTGCCTGTGCTGACACATCCACGCTGGCAACATTATTGTTCCCAAGGGTTATTCAGTTTGATGTGTGTGTCTAAACGCTAGGGTCAGTGATTGAGTTGGGATCATAGCGACAGTTAGCTTCAACTCGGCTTTGTGTGTAGAGATTGGACTTTGTATATAAATTGGCATCTAGCTGATGCGAGATTTATAAATCACTGTCAGTACTGGACAAATATTATTTATGGTGAATATCAGAATAAACATTTTAATGCATTTGTTTCAAGGAGACTAAAATGAGCAACAAATTTAAAAGCTTGTCTCTCTTGCTTTTTTAAAACTCTTTCATTTATCTTAAAATAGACCTGTATAGGCCTTCAGCTGTTGGATTTTAATTATAAATTTAATTTAATTATAAATTTCTGTTCTTTCAGTTAGTTGTTTAGCCTGTGTAAAAATGATGCCTATCCCAAAAAATCCTAAAGCCCAAGGTGAAATCTTTAAATTGCTTGCTTTGTTGATCAAAATCAAAAGATACTTGAGTTAAAAATATAAAAACAGTTGGAAACATTTAGCATATTTATTTGTATGTGACTTCATCGGTTATCAATTTTGCTGTTGGCTAATTTTCTGTCCACTGACTAATCAATTAAAAGACAAACTGATTGTTTCAGCACTAGACGCCTCTGTTGCACTGCTTTTTTGCTAAGCTGCTATTATACAGAAATACATCTCAGTATCAGTTTAAGTTCGAACCATGACTGAAAATGTTCAGCTGTATGTGTCGACTTTTAAAACATCCTGTGTGTGTGCGTGTGTGTGTGTGTGTGTGTCCCTTGATTAGGAATACTACAAGTCATTTTACTGACAGCACTCTCATTTTCTGCTCTCTTAAATGTTAGCAGGGAAGACAAAAGGCTTTGGTTTGGACATTCTCCAGGCCCTATTTTTCTTCTCCTTCTACTTCTTCTCCAGGAGTTGGCTAAACAGGCCAGCTCATTGTTGTGTAGACCAGATTAAGAAAATACCTTTCACATAAAGGGACGGCGGATATTTCTTTGTGTCTGTGTATGTTTATGTGTGC